CATGATATTATTGTTCAATTTCTGAATAAAACTTAAAGTACTGTATCAATGGATTTACTGTATGAAATCTGAAGTGCTAGACAGACACCGAAGATTGTCAGTTCTTCCTTTTACTGTTGATTATAGATTGAACAGCAGTAAGAGCCTTATATTATTACACAGAAATATTAAAAATTAAAAATATAATTAAATTGACATCAAAGGAGCTTTATTGAGCGTTAAATATTCAATAACCCAAGTAAGCAGGATTGGTGTATGGTGAGAACACACTAACTTAATAAAACATTCTTCTGAGTTCAATAATGTGCTCAACAATACTTTTGAATAACAGTGTTAAAATCTCTAACTTACAGAAAGAAAGTAATGCTCTCCTTTAGGCTATAGATAAATGTTTTCAAAGTATGTACAAATAATGTTCAAAATGTATTTTCTTCAAAGGAGTTGGTGCCTGTGAACCTTCAGCAAAGAAGCAAATGTATAAATAGCATATACCAGGAGAAACATGATTTAGCTGACATTACATTGTGCTATTCTGAATATCTTTTAAAAAGCAGGTCAAAATAAAATCTTTGCCAGGTTTGCATATAGTACTTTCTTCAGCTACCATTCAGAAATTATTCTATGTTATACTTTCATAAGTGACTGAGTTCTATCTTGCTGAACCAATTAGAGATGTTACTTTTTCTAAAGGCAACATTATTTGTGATGAGGCACTTAGCCACTGTCACTCCGTGAGCATTTAAGGAATTTAAAATACAACACAATGCTCTATGGTTTTATTTAGAGTATGGAGAAGAGCAATTCTTAGGAACATAGTTTTGAATTTCAGTATTTCCCAAGATTATGCAAATTCACTAGTTACCACAATCTGGAGTGTAAAGTAACAGTCCCTCTGAGACAGACTTTCATATATACTTTCCTAATGAGCTTTGCTAAGCCAAAATTTTTCCAGTGATGCCCACATATCCTAGTCTGAAAAGTTAGAATCAGGTTTGTAACTTCTTTTCTGACTTGGAAGAAGTGCTATTCATGAACACATCAACTGGATCACTCTGAATGTGCAGAAAGGACAGGCTTTCTGCAGCCTGAGCAAAATAGCAGATACAATTCCTATAGTCAGGTGAACTCAGAAACTGTACCCTCCATGAGCATTTCTAGCTGTAACCTCCCAACCCCTAATTTCTCCAGGTAGCTGACGCAGACCTGTCTCATTGTACAGTGTAGTATTATACGGGTCCAGACACTGATTTCTTTGTGTGTTTCTCACTGACAGCTGTTGTCACCCAAGTCTCACCAAGATCAAGCCTTGGCCAATTAGTAGAAGCCATATAAGGAGCGGCTGAGATCACTCGGTCTGTTCAGCCTGGAGAAGAGGAGACTGAGGGGAGACCTCGTTGAAGGATACAACTTCCTTGTGAGGGGAAGAGGAGAGGCAGACAGCACAGTTCTCTCTGGGGACCAGTGACAGGACCTGTGGGAACAGCATGAAGCTGTGTCAGGGGAGCTTAGGTTAGATATAGGAAAAGGTTCTTCATCCAGAGGGAGGTTGGGCACTGGAACAGCCTCCCCAGGGAAATGGTCACAGGCCTAAACTTGTTAAGAGTTCAAGAAGCTTTTGAACAATGCTCTCAGGAACATGATGTGAGTCTTGGGGTTGTCCTCTGCAGGGCCAGGAGTTGGACACAATCCTTGTGGGTCCCTTCCAACTCACCATATTCTATTATTCTAATTTTCATTTAATTTCAGGATTTAGATAAGCAGACAACGTCATGATGTTTCTGGGACAAGGCAATGTAAAGTTTCTTTCCTGCAGCCAAGTTAAAAGACTAAAACAACTTCCTGTTCATCACTGACTGCATGTAAGAGAAATGGAGTATCTGAGAGCTTGTGGCATTCTGTTACTTCTTAAGAATGGCTGTGCTTTCTGTTTAACAATGCATTCAGGAGCAGAGATGTAGTTTTAAGCAATGATGGCTGAGTATTAGAAGCACTATAGCTGTGATAGCCGTATGTCTAAAAGGTCTTCCTAGTTGACCTAGCTTCTTTTTTACTCCTCTGACACCCAAGTCAGCTTACTGAGTATTCATTAGGATAGATCAACATTGCAGCTCCTTGCACAATGCAGATAAATGAAACAGTATTAAGATAAAGTTTTACAAATCAGGGCCACAGAGAGATTCATATATACAGCTCAATCTTTCAAGGTTATTTAAAAACAAAAAAGATAAACCGGAATAAATGAGATGGGGGAAGCGTTCAACAGCATTTGTAGTTTCCTGTCACTTCTTTTCATTACAAGTTCAGATATGGTGTTGCTTAAACTTGTGGTGCCAAAATACAGCAAGAGTAAGTGAATAGGAGCAAGAGTGTTTTAAGTAGTACATCTATGTCTTAAGAGGGCTTTTAACCAACTAAACAGAAATACCAAGGTAGAAAGATTGACAGGAACTTCTCTGGAGTCTTCCGCAACCCCATTAGCTAACAGAGGAGACAACTGCAGTGAGGTGAAAAAAATGACAGTTGGTCATCTACGAAATTTTCTGAAATACTCAGATCCAGGATATGTCAAAAGGCTGTTTTCTCAGACATATTTTTTGTCATTTTCCTTTATTATTCCATGTCCAGAGAGTATTTGCATATCAGAGTAGATGTTACTATTACCATTTGAATTTTTGCTCCAACTTTCCATGGAAAAACTCTCATGTTCGTGCTTTGTATGGAATGATAAATCCACATGGATACCATAATCTTACGTGTCACTCTAATGGCTTCATTAATCGCTGACCCAAAACAGCATCCAAATTATTCAACTCCAAATTCAGAAAAGGTAGACTGAAACACAAGAGACTGAACATAGACCATTTACAGGATTTATTCATTTGATTCAAGAGAATACTGTCTGGTGTAAATAGTATTTTCTGACTGGTATTCCAATTCCCTCAACAAGTAATATAAAATAAAACACAAATACTTATAAAATATGACAGGCAGCAACATCCAGACTGTGAATGTGCAGTATCTGCAGTATATGTTTCAGATAGTTCAATTTTATGTTTTAACTGTCAGCTCAGGCAACCAGGTTATCCTGTTCTGGTAGAGTAGGATAATCAGCACATAACTCTTGACACAAGGGAATATGCGTTCAGCTGCTCTTGAATACCATGGTAACTTTGGAAAGCTATTATTAGTTTTATTTCAAAATTTGTATCCACCATTTCTGATTTCATCAGCACTATGTAGATTTTCAAAGTAATTTTTCTGAATGAACTAAAATGGTTTCCATGAGAATGTGCTTTGAATGGAACTTTACCTGTCCTGATAAGGACATGGAAGAAGTTAGAAAAATAAACAGTGAGACATCTGAGACTGGTCATGAGATCCGAACTAGGAAAAAGATAAATCAGAACTTTGCTGCTTTTGAACAGCATGAAACACATCTCAGTAAAGAAAATTCAACTAATAGTTACATACCAGCTTGTCAGCAATCCTGGAATTTACTTCAGGAAAAACTGACTTTAGGACAGTACTGTTGTTTCCTGTTCCAGTACTGGCTGTGGACTATAGCATATTCTCATTGTATGAAAAAAATCTAGCATCACTCATAATTGCTGGGTTTTTTCAAACCAGCAGGGAAATCGGTGGCATTTAAAAAACCCCAACCTGATAGCTTCATAGGCCTATCCACTGGACTTCATTCATAGAAGCATGAACTAACTTTCTACAGAGAAATCAAAAAGAAAGTAGTCAATAAAAAAAAAAAAGTAGTCAGGAGTCTAGCATACTCAATATTTGGCTTTCTTACCAAGAAAACCAGTTTTTAATGTGGACTGTTCTTTGATCTGTTACCAAATGGCTGTATAAATTTGGCAATACACATATGTAACATTCTAGCTAAATGTGAAACATATGGTTATTTGATCTTCAGCTAGACACTGAAATTTATTTGTATTCCATGGATGAACAAAATTGATCAAAGTTGATAGCTATTTCTGTGCTTTCACAGTCTTAGATTTTACATCAAAATTATAACAAAGGTAGTGGTTCTTTGCATTATTGCTTTAGGCAATTACACGGTTTGCAGAAATAGACAGCCCTGTTGACACAGCTGCTGTTTCTGCTTCTGAGTTGCTTCACTTCCTTCCTACACTGTAACTGTCACTAGCACCATCTTACAGTCAGACCTAGATCAAGGCTTCTCAGCTGTATGGGCAAAATGAAAAGAAAAAAGCACTGTGATTTTTATGGTTTTGCAGAGGGGTCGAGGGGGAGGAGGGAGGGATGACACACATGGGTCTCTTGTTTGTGAGTCAGTGTGTGTGTGTGCCTGTGTGTGAAAGAGAGCAGCTGATACTGAGAGTTTCTCCAATAGGAATAATTTCCATCTTGCTCAGCTCGGCTGCATCTTCAGTGACGGTGGCAACTCGCTTTTCCCAGGCTGTAGCACACATTGGCAAGCAGCAAGGCCATGTCTGTGTTGCAGCTGTCTCCCTCTGCTTACGCACAGATAAACTCTGTAGGCAGTATATATTAGATCTGGATGAACTGTCATGAAGGCAGAAATAAGAGCCCAGTTACTTGTACCTGAAAACACTGTGTCCTCTTCTCATAATGTTGTACTGACTTCCTTGAAATCACAGATTACTTGAAATACAAGCTTGAACATAGTTACCTGGTTCCCCTGGGGGAAGGCTCCGTGGTTTAAAACGGGTGTTTAATGTAAGAGTTGAAGCAAGTCAAAATTAGAACGGTCCGCCAGCATCAGCGAGTCGGATACTCTGCCAACACCAGCAACAGCTTTACAATTTCCTTTCTCGACTCACTCCAGGACTCACCGGCCTAAAGCCACACCGCTTTCCCCGCAGCCCGTGGGCCCCGCCCCCCGGCTCGGACAGGGAGCGTCCGGGCCCTGACCCGCCCCGGTACCGCCCCCTCCCCGCCCTGTTCGCTCGGCGGGCGGAGCCCCGGTGCCGGGGCGGGCCTTGCGGCCCGGTTCCTGCTGCCGGGGATGGCGAGGCAGGCGGGAATGGGGATGGTTCTTAGCCTGCTCCTCTGCCTGCCCCTCTGCCTCCTGTCCCTCTACCTGCCGCGCCCGGCGGCGGCCCGGCCGCCCGCCCCGCACCTGGTGCTGGTGCTGGCCGACGACCTGGGCTGGGGCGACGTGGGCTGGCACGGCTCTGCCATCCGCACGCCGCGGCTGGACGCGCTGGGCGCGGACGGCGTGCGACTGGAGCGCTACTACACCCAGCCGCTCTGCACCCCGTCCCGCAGCCAGCTGCTCTCCGGCCGCTACCAGGTAGGGCGAGCACTCGGGGCTGCAGCTGTTTCTCCCGCGGGAGAAACAGCGCGGCTCCCTCCGTTGCCCCTGGGGCTCCCTCCGCTGACCACACTTCCCTCGGCAGGTGGATGGTGGGTGCTGCTCCCCTGCTTGCTTCTGGCAGTGCTCCGTGTAGTTTGTGCTTCATGTGTCCCGTGTGCCGGTACGCTGGGAAGAAGCTGTTTTCCACTACTCTGTGGAAACCAGCTGCTTTTATATGCAGTCTTAACTTACCTTTGGCTTGCGAGCTCTGGAGTAAACCAGCATGGATTTAGTGCAAGTTGTTCTGCCCCAGAAAAGCCGAGGTGCTCTCTGTTCTGCTTCAGAAAAGCCGAGGTGCTCTCTGTGCTTAGGTTGGATTAATAGGCATGGCAGCCAGTAGTGGAAGATATCCCTTCCCTAGTCATCTGACTCTTAAGGTACTTCTCCACTGGACAGGCACCCGGTCGAGGTGTAGACAGAAGTGGATCAACACCACTTGTTCAGTTTTTCCAGCATCTTTTCCAATGCAGGTTTAAATGCATCCTGAGCTGTATACATTCTCCTCCATACAGTACCATAGATGTAGATATTTCTGCACTCCTTCATGGAGTGCACACAGAATGATCCTTAGGCTGGCTGTCCAGCTACTTCATAGTCACAGTCATGAGTTTTCTCACTTTTTTTTTCAGTTGCACAGGTATAAGGATTGGGCTTTTTAACACTGATATAACTCTCCCCCTTCCTGCCCTTGTTGCAATTTTGGCAAAAACGGGAGTAGAAGGAAAGAAGCATGGCCATACAGCATAGACGGAAGGAAGAAACTCTTAAAGGGTTAAGTGTGTTTCAGAAACTTACCCTCTCAAAAAGTTCTGTCAGTCCATGTTAACAGTAGTGATTTTCCAAAGAAACTGCTCTAAATTAATAAAAATAAACTTCATCCTGTATGATTGGATTCTATCTCTTGTTACAGAAAGGTTGATCTAGGTGATACGCTTTCCTTGCAATATTTGTCCTATTTCTAGAAACTCCAAGAATCAATAACAATGAATAGGAAGAAGTAATTTACATTTTCTTTATCAACACTTTAAGTTGTTCTGTTAAATAACCTAAAACACTTCTTCATTGTGACTGTTTTTAAAATACAGTTCATAGTCTGAACATGCTTACCTAGAAATGGGCCATTGCTACATCTCATTTTAAAAGTGGGCCTGGAAATGGCTGTAGTTCAGTCTGGATTTAAATTCATGCTATACATCCCTCTTGATAATTTAATGATCTTTGTGTTGATCTTGTTACAAATAAGATCATAAATATTAGAAATATAATAAATATTAGAAAATGGATGTATTCCTTTTTAAAAAGAAAAACATTCAGTGCAGGAAATAATTATGCAGCAAATAGGTGGGATTTTTTTTCTTTGTTTTACCCATTGATATGATTGATATGATTGATATAATTAACAATTACCTAGAGATTCGAGAAACTAATTTAAATCTGCTTAAATCTGCCCCTATCGGGAGCTGGAATTTTGATAGTCACCCTGCAATCTGTAAGAAAAAAGAGCAATGGTGTTGGTCTAAGAAAGCTGTAGATTTTTTTAATGATTTCTTTCTTCTTCTTCTTCTTGTTTTTGTTTTCCAGAGACAGTGGGAGAAATTAAAGTGCTTTGTTAGTGTGTGTGTTTCTGTCATGGTTTGAGATAGCCCCAAAAATCCAATTCCCTAGCTCCATCCTCCCTCCCACATCTCAACTTAATGTGAGATGGGTTTTTTTCCAGACAAAACAGAACCAGACTCAAAGTGGGGGAAAGGGAATATATTACAATGACTGTACAAATAAATACTATAACACATTATACACACGATCACAACTATCTCTACCATGACATATAGTATTTACAATGGATCAGATCTCTTCTCCCCTCCAAATAAAAGTCCAGGAGGGAAAGAAGGACAGATCCCTTCCAGTCTCTCAGGAATCTCTTCTAAGGCAGCAGGTCTCCTCATCTCATGCATGCAACAGTAACTGGATTGTTGTAGCTGGATCTCTGTTCAATACACACAAGGGGGTCTCCAAGCCCCTCGGCTCTCCTTCGGTCCAAGCGAAGGCCTCACCTGTGGGCTGCCGGCAGGGACCAGACTCGCGTCACCACAGGTATATCACAAAATGCAGGGGCATCTTCGTGAAAGTCCCTTCCTCAGGGGATTCAAATTCCCCTTTGCAGAGCTCCATGCTCTGTCTCAAGGCTGCTAGTTTAGCAGCAGCAGCGAGGGGGGCCAAGGTCAACCCCCCCGCATTCCTTCTCCGTCCCGGTCCAGCTTCAGGATGCTTTTGAGCTTCTCAGCTCCTCTCTGCAGTGCATGCTGCACTTCAGGGCTCTTTCAAGTAAGAGTCCATCATCTTCCTCCTTTCCAGGAGGTCTCAAAGGAGTTTTAGGGGTTTGGTACAGTTCCTACCCCCAGAACTCCGAAGCTCTGCTGTGGGCTCTCTTCTCCTCAACTCTCCTTCCGGGAGTCTTCTCTGCGGTGCTGCATGTCTCTGTTGCTCCGTCTTATCTCTTCTGGCTCTCTGCCACCGCTTCTCCGGTCAGTGCCAGCTCGGCTGCTTTTTCTCCGGCCGCTGCCCAGTTTGGAGAAAACATCTCCCAGCTCAACTACAGACACTTAGCCCAGTCTAACACTGTTCCAAGTCTCTATAGCCCCCAACTGGGGCTGGGGGGCCCCAGAGGCCCCGAGGGGCTCCAGGCCCCTTTCCTCGAAGCTCCTACAACATGGCTACCTCTTCTAACACCAAACTACAACTACATCTCTTCCGGTGCTTGTGATATGTTTACATTTCTGCAGGAGCGCTCATTGGACAGAACTTCAAAACTTCCAGGGGTTTCCACCCCTGGGGGTTACCACTTTTCTGCCTCTGGGGGAAAACAAGGTTCAAACCACTACAGTTTCTCTAATATTTTCTGTACTACAACATTTCAAAATATGTTTGAATATAATTTTTTATATAATATAAAATTTATACTATAATTTTTGAAACTCCCTGTTTCATGGAAAATGAGTAACTAGTAGGCCCTTCATAAGGGCCCACTTGCCTAAAATCAGGGTTTATTTTAAAAGTCACTTCTGAGTGTTGCTAATGTGATGCTCTAGAAGTTAATCATGGAGCTTGCTACACTGGTGTGCTTAGAGGAGTTATAAAATCTGATGTCTTGTGCTCTAGGAGGTCTTGGAGTTTTGTGCTTTGACACACATAGATTAATAGAAATATTTAGTAAATAAGATATTTATACTTGTATACATATGTTTGCTGGCCTAGGTTTAGGGTAGTGCCTTTTTTTTGTTGTGGAGGAGACAGGGGATTTGACAAAAGTCAGCTTATAGTACACAGTTACTGAACAGTTTTCTTACATCAAACACAATATACTACTTGAAGTATTGTTGTCAGCTATGATTTTGTAAAGAGGTACAAAATTCACCATTTATTAAGATTGGAAGCTTAAGTGGAACTATTAAAGGTCAGATTTAGGCAGTATCTAAACTTTGTGTCATCCCTATATTCAAATACTTTTTACAGTGCTCACAATCATTTAAAGTATGCAAATAAGTATAAAAATGTGTATATATAATATCCTTTTAGAAGAGTAATGGAAAAATAGTTCTCTTACCTTTTATCATCCTTTCCTGATACAGAATTTCCTGTTCTCTGATACAGCCAAAAGCTTGACAGCTTCAACTGTCTTGTGCCTTTTTGACCATTTCCATCTCATTTAAAATCTCTAACTCCATATTGAGATGTCCTTAGACTTCAAACACACCATAATTGTAATTGTTACCTGTTGGATTTTTAGCTAAAAGCATTAGAAGCTTTGGGTTTGTTTGGTTTTGTGTTGGTTTGGTTTTTCTGTTTTGGTGTTTGTTTTATTTTTTTAGTTGCACTTGATTTATACCTGGGAAGATGATGTTAACCCTCGCAGTACTATTTTCTTGTCTTCCTCCATGCCACCTTGCCCTCCACTTGCAGCTTTCTCATCTTTCTCAGTGCTACATCAGTAAAAAGAGGATCCCCTAAAACTAAGGCTAACCTCTGATGTAGCTGTATGTCCTTTTGGGCTTGGTTATAAATTGACCCATGGGAACACATGGCTACATTGTAAATGATCTCTCATGCTTCTTTTATCTGCTAGATCCACACAGGTTTACAACACCAGATAATTTGGCCATGCCAGCCCAGCTGTCTGCCACTGGATGAGAAACTCCTCCCAGAGCTACTTCAAGAGGCGGGATATGTTACTCATATGGTGGGGAAGTGGCATTTAGGGATGTACAGAAAAGAGTGCCTTCCAACCCGCAGAGGATTTGATACTTATTTTGGTAATGGTTTGATTTAATATGTACAATAAATACAGTGTTAAAAAGGATGAAAAACTGCCCCATTCTTTTAAGAACAGCAGATTTACTGTTAGTTTGTAAGTACATCAATACCTGGGTGTTCATGTTTCTGAACTGCTTAAAATAATGCCTTTAAACATATGCCTAAGCTTAACAACTTACTGAAGAAAATCCTGTACTTACTGTATGGCTCTGAATAAGGTATTCCGCTCTTATGATCTTCCCCCAACCTTCCTACTTTCCTATTTTATTCCAAATTCTCTACCTCTTCCCCACAGCAGCACAGGAGAGCAGGGAATGGGGATTACTGTCAGTTTGTGTAGCACTGGTTTTGCAGATCTGGTGACAGGATGGTGTGAAAACGTCTATAAAGCAGCATCCAAAAGCTGCTTTTGACAACTTACGAAGTCAAACTCTCAGACTAATAGAAGAACAGATTGACCATGTGTGAGTGCAGTACTTACAGAGCAACTTGTAGCTACCCATTGCTTATTCTTCCTCTTAAAATGTTGGACTCCTCTCCCAGTGTCGATTGGAGGTTTATTAGTTTTGCACAAGTGTCACAGATGTTAAGTGACTTGGGCTGTCTGCTCTGCGTTTCGTTCTGCACGGTACTGAGTGCAAAGTAGTCCATGTCCACTTGGTTGTTTTTAAGACACTTTAATTGAATCATGAATTTCAAAATCATTCACTTCAATGCAGAAGCCTATGTCGCTCTTTTCTAACCTTAGGCTTAAATGAAGAGCAAAACTGTGCTACGTGCCCTCTGTAGACAATGTTGATCCAAATGTTAGGTAGGAAAAACTATTCCCTTAGATAGTTCCTCACTTTTGACTTTTCAGGGAGCTTGGGACCATGGTTTCACAACTGAATTAAGCTAATATATATGGACCAGAATATGAGGGCTCATTGCTTAAACATATATGCTTCCTCCCATCCCTTCACAGAAGCTCGGGATCTTTTTGATGGCATAGATGTAGGTGGGCTGCCATTCCTCATGAAATCTCACCCTGGGACTGAGCAAGCACTTAATGCAGGAGCCTGAACACAGGCTGGCACTGGGTATGGTTATTGGGTGCCCAATGTGACATTATTTTTCAAGGAATGTAACAGTTCAATATCCTACGATGTTAATGAAATTCCAGTAGTCATTTATTAGCAGCATTTGATTCCATGGCACACTTGATGGAATGTGTCCTTCAGTGGACCTTCAAAATGGAAAAAATGCAGCTTGTTCCTTTGAGTACATTGGTGTAAGCAGTCTGCGCACAAAGTCAGTCTTCATGCTTTGAAAGAAAACATATCTTTCTCATAAAAATATATTAGACATTTATATTATATTTAAGGCAACTTCATTCTTTCTGTACATGTGTTTTGTGCAAATAACTATCTGAAGCTGCTGAGTAAAAATTCAAGTAAGCAGTACTAATTTCTGAGATTCAAAGAATTTTAAAAAGTTTTGTTTCTGATAACTGAAACACAAAGGGTTATGTTATCCTGCTCCACAGGATAGCCCTAGGTAGGAGCAAATCTATACCTATAGAAATTTTGCTTTGTTTCTTTTGGGTATCTCTAAATGATAGTGTCCTTTCTTCACCACCTGGTGTCAGCAATGGATCAGAAATTACTTTACAACTGACATAAAAGATAGTTTGTACTTGAGTGTTTTTGAATAAATAAATTAAAAAAGTTCCAAACTTTCTATTAGAGGTGGAAGTCTTATATGAAAATACAAACATACAAAATCATACCAGCAAAAATCAGACTAGTGCACAGACTAGATCACTGCCTTTGCTATCAGTGCATTCGTTTATTGCTAATGTTTTTGATATCAAATTATAATTATGAAATCATGGAACTGCTTCCAGAATGTTTAATTTCTTTTGAAATTACTACTTGCATTAGCAATGAACAGTCGATGAGGTATTAAATGTTGGGCTACTTAGACCTGTCAGAGGTGTCTCTGTCGGTGGTCCAGTGTTGAATTCATGCTTCAACTCAAAACCACTAATGTTTTGACATTTATGTTTGGCTTTTTTCTCTCCCTGATGTATCTGTTTATGTGACATGATGTTGGTCTGCTCATTTCACATCTTTTCCTGTTCTAGGCTATCTTTTGGGCAGTGAGGATTATTACACTCATGACCGTTGCGTTCTCATCAAAACAAAGAATGTAACGCGCTGTGCTCTGGACTTTCGAGATGGAGAAGAAGTTGCAACTGGATTTAAAAATGTGTACTCCACAAATTTATTTACAGAAAGAGCAATAGACCTTATAGCAAATCACACAACTGAGAAGGTACAATCAGCAGCTGTTATTCTGATAGCTTCAATGTTAAAGAATGTTTTAAAAATGTGAATGAAATATTAACAGAGAGAGACCCGCACTTGAACTGTAATCTGGGGCTATTCACTAAGGTGCGTAGAGCTAAATGTGAGAAGTAGTGCTGGTATAACTTGTCAGCTTTGGTTGGCACTGGCCTGCTACTGATCTCCATTTCTTTTATTACAATACAATTCATAAGATTTTAGAAATGGTTTAGAAGTAGTTTACGCTTCTAAGAAGAGAGTGGAAAGTTTAATGTGAGAATTTTAGTAGAAATAAATTGTTCACAAATGTATTATGAAGAAAAGATACACCTGATGTTTTTCCACAGCTTTGGAGAAGTAATTTTTCAAAGTTTTGTTGGTTTATGTGTAGGGATTAGAAGATGTAGAAGAAACCAAAACACATTGCCTGCACTGTTGATGAATCAGGTCTGCTTTTGCTGCAGTAACTTTGGCACGTAGTACTTGATGTTCAACTAATTTCCATTCTGTCCCTTCCACCCCAGCCCCTCTTTCTCTACCTTGCCTTTCAGTCTGTCCATGAACCTCTTGAGGTCCCTGACGAATACGTGAAACCATATTCTTTCATAAAAGATTTAAAGAGGCGCCGTTATGCAGGGATGGTGACTCTTATGGATGAAGCTGTAGGAAATCTTACTGATGCTCTGAAAACAAATGGTCTTTGGGACAACACAGTTCTTGTTTTCTCTACTGGTAAGTTCCTTTAAATATTCTTTCAGTAATAACTTTGCTACAGTGTCTGACAGGCTGACTAGAGAGACATCTGGCCCCTCTGCCCTTCCTCCATATATTTTTAGCTACTGAAGTGCAATGAAAGTGAAGCAGGACTTTAAATGAGGCAGCAGTTTCTCTCCCTGCTCTTAGAGCTTTCTCAAGCATTACAAAACCACCTTGAAAGTAGTGTCTGTGCAAATGGGGGATGCTCCTGTTGAGGTAAAAACACCATTGTAAATCTGAGAAGTGCAGTGAAGTTAAAAGCATCTTACTTGCCACTGCAGTTACTGAGGATCTGTCAGAATTGAATCCTTACTGAGAGCCATCTACAAATTCATTTGTCCTGGGCTATAGGAAGTTGCCTGACCAGTCTATGATTTGCTGTGTGTTGTATGAAGCACAAACAGCAAGCTGTTTGAAACCAGAACTCCTTCTTTCCCTTACTTTAATGTGACATGTAGTTTTTGTCTTGCTTGAAATGTTTCATTGGTGTTTTACTTCCGTGAAGCAAAGGTCTGTTAGTGAAAAAGTTGACTGTATGATAATACAGTCTAGTCTGCCAAATTACCGTCTAAGCCTTTGTATGTGCAGGCACAGGATCTGCTTTCTAGATTATTAGAGTAATGCAAATAATACATTGCAAAGCACTCTCCTTTGTTTCCAAATTAAGAACGAAACAGAATCTTTTTGAAATACAGCTGGTTGGCTAGGTTTCAGGAACATATTTATTCTTGTTTGGTTGGGAGTAGGAAGTAGCCTTTCAATGCTTACAGTTGCTCTTTTGTCCAGGCTTTACATAGTAGGGCTGTCAAAATGGCAAATTAGTTTTCTGTGAACACTTAAAAAAACCCCAACAACAAAAGCAACACAACAATGACAAAAAACCCCCAAAGGTTTGATGAAAATGCACTGATGTGTTTTGAGTTTAGCAGCTATAGCACTTGGAGTCCTGGAATTTCATTTTGAATTCAGACCTGTTTGCCTTATGATGTTACATTTGTGTCCAGGTTTTGGCTCTAGCAGGATTTGATAACTCTTCTGTGCCTGTTTCTGTTTGCAATGTTTTTATATTAAGAACTGAAAGTAAGCAAAGACATATGGAAAATGATAGCAGTATTTATTCCATATGGAAAAAATCCAGTCTTTGCTGATGGGGTCTTGGTAGAGTTATTTCCGTAATGTTTGTTCAGTACATTGTGGAATAAAACTAAATAAATCTGAGCTAGAATTACAGGGTATGAGTGAATTAAAAAGACAAATTTATTTTTTTCATTTATGAAACTTCTTTTTTTCCAAACAGTGACAGTATACCCTGCTTTTTAACAGTGATTATTTTGCAACCAATTACGGGTTCATTTCAGCAAGAGTCAAACAGTCAGGAGAATCCAGTGTCTCCACTATCTAATTAGACTTATTTTGAGTTAATTGACATTTCAAACTACCAGGAGTTAAATTGAATGGCTAAAATGCACATAAATTGGTCCTAGATCAAGGAAGCCAGGGGCCAGTGATTTGGGTTTTTTCAGTGTTCTCTCTTAACTTCAAACAATTTTCTTTCCAGGCATCAAACATTGCATGCATTAAAGACACAGTTTCAAAAACCCGATGTTGAAACTAGATTCATTAAGCATTTTTAAAAAATGGCCAAAAAAGGGGAAAAAAGTGTGAAATTATTCAGTTTTTCTATATTTTATTTAGTGCTTTTTCAGGTGGTGTGTTTTGGAATAGACGTTCAAGCATGCTTGAAAAGAAACATGAGAGGATCTAGGATTGAGTATCTCATGCAGAGTTGTGCATGAGCAAAGGCCCTACTTTTACATGGGTATGTTTTACTAGGTTCATTACTATTTCCTTTTTAGTTGTGGCCAAAATTGACGTTTCTATGTTTGCATCTCTCCCTGCTTCAAAAGTCCCATCCTCAAAATAATTTACAGGTGATCATTTCCTATTGTGTGCTACAGCAAGTAGCATTTCAACAAATAGTCTTCTGATTGATTACTTCGCTGTAATGTGCTGACCCCAAATTAGGGCTCTCTTTTTGGTGGGTACTTATAATCTTTAATCTTGTGATAGAATTTTTTTTATTATACTCTTCTGTGTTTCTTCCCATTTGTTATGGCTCAAGCAGGATTGCCTTGAAAACACGCTAGTTAACAAGTGGAAATACTGCACATTTTGAAAGAGGCTTCTAAACTGTGTAGAAGAACTTCAATTCCTCTTTAAAGTGGCTTGATGGAGACACCAGGATAAAAATAAAGTTACCTGGTCATTAGCAAAGTTTGACTCCATTGATATATCCTGTAAATCAACATCACTGGTGTCTTTTGGAGCAGATAGACAAGCTATTTCTACAAGTAAATAAGAAAAAGGTGAGCTAGTTCACTTTGTATATCAAATAGTAGCTTTAAAAGTCTTGACTGGTGTGAGATAAAATAGAATTTCTTTTTATGGAGCACTTTTTATACTGCAGATGCAAGTAAGTCTATGCTAATGAGGTCATTGGTGACAATGAATTCATTGCTTGTTTAAGCAAAACAGATGAAAAAGGGTGCAGCAGTGTTGGGTACCCATGAATGGCCTTTCATCCACTTGAAATCAAAGAGCATGAGACATAGGGTGTATTTTTCTTTTTAGCAGTCACAAGAGAGTGTAACTACCAATGTCCTTGAAGAGGGCCTTGACTTAAAGTAAAGGTCATGAAAAGCATTAAAGTGGCACAAATTTACCTCAGAACTGTTTATACTGGCTTAGAGTCCAAATTTTGCTTCAAATGTAGAATCGCAGAATATGCTGAGTTGAAAGGGACCCGCAAGAATCATCAAGTCCAACTCTTAGCCCTGCATAGGACACCCCAAGAGTCATACCATGTGCCTGAGAGTATTGTCCAAATTTCTTGAACTCTGTCAGGCTTGGTGCTGTGACCACTTCCCTGGGGAGCCTGTTCATTGCCCAACCATCCTCTGGGTGAAGAACCTTCTTCTAATAGAAGTGGGGATTTGCTGTGAATATGATGTGTTTATAGTTTCTGCAAGGTGTTGCAAATAATTTTGGTATAAACTTGCCACCAATAAAGCAAAGGAATCTGACCTCTTAATTTCAATTCTGAATTAAAGCTAGTATCCTTGCCTTTATTTAACTTTCAACTTTTTAATATACTAAACCATTTTGGAGCAAAACTCCTTACCTCTCTTTCTTCCATGATGTCTCTCAGTTTTTAAATGTGAGTTTGCACTGTAGTGCCTGGTAGTTGCTGTAAGAGGGCTTTGAAAAGTAGAACACGTGGAACATTGCAAAGAGGAAACTGCATAAATCCTTTCCATAATGAAGCATGTGACAGCCATGACTGTTTTCACTCGAAAAGAGAGTCTTTTTATCATTTTAGAATTATGATTAATAAGAGCACAGATTGTTTTGGACATACTGATATTTATACAGTTTCTTTCTCTCACACCTCTAGGGCTTTTTTCCCCCCAAATTTCATATGGCCCTTTTCTTTTTTCCCCTGCATTCCAGTGAGCATATTGCGGCTTTTGTCTTAGGAAATACTGGGATTTTTTTTTCTTATTTCCAGTGCCTACTTTGAGACTATGAATCTCACTTTCCCTGATTCTCTAAGGGCATTTTGGTATCTTCTTGATGCCTTTGTTCCCGTATGAACTCCTGTTCCTTCAGTTTTGCTGCTAAGGGACTTCAGAGAGACTTCTAATTGCAGATTGTCAAGCCAACTGAAGGCCAGACTGGTTAGGGCAGTTATTCTCTGTCTGTGGTGTTGGAGTTGCTAATTTTGAAGATTGTGTTATCAGATTTTTTATTATAGATCTGAAGACCTGTTTGAATTGGTCTTTCGGGAGTCTCTGAGAGGTTTGGTGTGTTCTGGTGAGGAAGATGCCTGGACATCTATTGCCTGAGCATCTGCTGCTTCCTGAGAGGAAATAAGCAAAGATGCCTTAGCTGCAAGCACCTTCAATCACACTAGTTATTTAAGTTCATGTATTCTCAAATATTATTTTTCTATTTCTTATTTATTTAAGCTTGTTATTATAGAGGCAAAAGTTCCAGCTGATTACTGTACTTGCATTGATTAGAGTTGTCACTTGCCAATGGTAATAGTGAAAAGTGCATGTGTTTTGTACTCCAGTTCTGGCTTTTATTGTTTTTTTAGGCTTTTTCCACATTAAAGTATGGGTGTTGAGAATATATTTTTTAGAAATAAAAAAAATCTCTGCCGTATGATGCAGATAATAGTAATGAGTGTATTTTTAATAACATATCATCAAAGGTGGAAATATGGAAATGGATTTCAAATTAATACTGATAGATGTTAATAGTCAGTATATTGATTTCTCACCCCCCATTTTAAAATCCACTGAAAACCCTAAATGTTTTTGTATTAAGTGTTTATTTATCTTCCATTTCTTCTAGCATTAACCCCTCCCCATCCACCTAGACTTTTTCCATGCAAAACCTAACACTCCAAAGCCAAGTTCTTGAACAAGGACTGACCTTGTACCAGAGACACCCACTTCTTTTTTTCCCTTATGTTCAAAAATTCCATCCTAAGTGGAATCTTGAATTTTTCTTCTGGCTTTTAGCAAACGTCAGTGCTTAAAGTGAAGTTCACTTGTAAATGATACTCAGAAGTGAATTTTTCCCAGAATTTTGCAAGCTGGCCAGTTTTCTGTAAAACTTTGACTTAAGCATGCTGATAGCTATCCTAGCAATTTTTTTCTCAGACTGAGACAAATGCTGAAAACAGCTAATTTTATATATTAACAATGTTTAATAATTTCTGACAGCTCTCCAAAGGTTATCTTAAACTGTGATTAACTGTTAAACTACACTAGTTTGTTCTCAATAATAGTGTTTAAGAAGCCATTATTCTTTTTGTCAGAATCTTTGACACCCAGTCAGTGGTCAGGTTTAGTGCCTGTCCCTGTAACTGGGACAAGTCAAAGTTCTCTTGCTTGACTTGCATACTG